CTATACTATACAGATACTGATAATCTTACTTTTAATAGCAGCTAAAAGCAGTAAATTATATTATATTATATTATTTATTCAAAAAAAAATATAATAAAAATAAAATAATCTAAATCTTTATAATAAAAATCTAGATAATATAATAAATCAGAATATATATTATTTACTTTATTAATTCAGATTTAATTATAAATTATAATATTATTTACAGTTCCGGGATCTTTATATTCTATTCTATATATTATAATCTTATTATAGTATTATAAATTTTTTCAGTTATCCAGGCTTGTAACTGGTTATTCAGTATATTTTATAATTTTTTAATTATATATCTAGCAGCTAGTTTTTTCTATATAATTTATTTCAGTTTTAAATAATATAAAATCTATAAATTATCTTATCAGAATAATATTTTTAAAATTATTATAAAAAAATATTGTACCAGCTCCTCTAGTAATAAAGATTAATTATTATTAGAATTAAAAAATAGAATTTAACTAGTTTTCTTATTTTAGATTATAATAAATATATTTATATTATATTTATGATAGTATTCAAAGGACTTAAAAAATAAGTTATTTTTCTAATAATTTTATTATTAATATTTTAATTTTAGATTATCTGAAAGATATTTTTATATTCTTTATAATTATATAATTATAATAAATATCAGGTTTAATTTATACTGCTAGATAATAAAAAATTTAAGTCTGTAAAAATATAAAATAAAAATATATAATTTCTATTTTTTTTATAACTGATTAATCAGCTGAAAGATCACGTAGAAAAAATAAGCTGAAATAAACTAAAATAATAATATTAAATAATAATAATTTAATTTATTTATAAAAAAAAGAAACAGAGTGACAGATAAATAATTTAAATAAATATTATAATTTATTTTTTATAATAATAAAATATAAGAATATTTTCAGTTTCAGTTAATATAATATTAATAAATAAAAATTAGAAATAAAATATTTTATTAATATCAGTTTTAAATATTAGTATACAGGATACTAGTTTATAATTATCTATTTTTTGGTGATATTTGCGATGAATTCGAACATCAATGTTGGACCAACAGACAGAAACAAAGAAGAGACACAGCCCCAATTATAATCAAGCTGGATTGGTAAGTAAGGCAATTTCCAAACTGGCGGCAGTGACTAGGGGTAACTGTGTAACAAATAGCTGGGTGAATACACAGACTTCAGTAAACTGTGACTATCACTACATCTAGTTTCCTCTTACTAGCTATAAGAACCAGGCACTTCCGGACTCTCGGCCTTCATGCCCTCTCTCTACACCCGTTCCTTCACTGCAGTACTTATCACTTCGAGGTGTCAGAGACAGTCAGAATATTACACAGTTTGTTGACCTGACAGCCTAGAACGACTTACCGACCTCTGTTTTGTCTCAAAGGGCCAAAAGACAGTCATGGAAGTAACAATGGCAACAGATTCACTTCCCACAAGTCTGTCCCATGCGTTAGGCTCTACGCTCTTGAGCACGCGTCAATGTGTCGTGCAACTTCCCTCAGATATCGCGGTCGGCTCTGGTATGTATTGAAATGCATGGGCTCTAGTTGTGGGCGAAGACTAACTATGTTATAGTTATTATTGGTGGATTTACAGCCTGCATTATGACCAAATATGCTCTCCATCATGCCTCCCAACACCCCGAACTGCAGAACCAGGTTGACCTTCGCTACTCTGAAGTTCACTTCCACCGTCCGATATTTGCCTCAACGTCAATTACCCTGACCTTGCGAGAGGTGCATATCTCCAAAGAAGGGTCTACCCTTTATGTCGAATCACTCCAGAATGGCAAACTCACCACTTCTGCTCATATCAGGTATGTGGACTGTATTTACATCACGAGAAACAAATGCTTATACCCATGATGATCAGAATCACCAAACCATCAGTCGCAGGTATCACGCTTCCAGTAGATTGGCGTCTATCCCCTAAGCCCTGCCCAGTCGACCTTACGAAACTCGAGACAGACAATGACCCCAACTGGATCTCCTACCACTGCGCCTTCTACCCCACAGGATTCCGAAGAGGTCAGTCTTACGCCAAGAACTTCATCCCGAGGGCACTGCCCACCGAGTTCGCATACATTGAGCAATGGGTTGAACCTGGCTGGGACTATCTTCCACTAGGCTCTCGGCCCTCTGGAACCGGCCAAGGCAAGGCAAGGTGGACCAATGACATGATACAATTCGTGGGAGACATGGCCCTTCCTATTCAGGAGAACTATATGCCACATGAAGAGGGGGAGCCGTTGCCGCTGGGGAGCATAGCGGCCACGCTCGAATTTGCGAAGCGCCAGGAGAAGGCCCGCAATGAATCACGGAGCGATTGGAGAGTTCTCGATGATGACGGCAGCAACGAATTTCGGGGCAAAGTGCTGAATGTCTCCTTGACTCTCTCTACGGACATCAAGCAAAAGCTTCCCCCTGAGGGTGTCCGATGGCTCTATCTGCGGACTGAATGCAAGAAAATTATGAATGGCCAGATGGATATGCAGGTTCTCATTTTTAATGAAAGGATGGATCTCATTGCTATCAGTCGTCAAGTGGCGGTTCTTGTTCCCGCGAAGTCGAAGATTCAGAAGTTGTGAACAAGTTGTGAAACTTTGGGAATATTATTCCTTTGAATATGCATTGAATTTAAGATGAATACAGTGAATTGTATTTGTTCTCCACCGAATCCAGGGAGATGTCTTTGCATTGCAGCGCTTTATAATTGGTGATAATTTTTTAGATGCAGTGGCTCAATGATAGGTATAATATCGCCTCATCCTATGTCGCTCATCGTACAATATTAGATGCAGAATCTATCCTTATTCTTTTTGCATTCATACGCCCGGTCAGCTCCGTTTGTCCAGTAATTAACCCCCACAGTGTACTCTGTATTCATGGTTAGACGCTCCTCCTTGGAGAAACTAATCTTACACTTGGACCAATGTAGACTATCCTAAATGATGGACAGAATGAAGATATCTACAGAGTAAGATCAAATCTAAAAACTATAGAAAATAGAAAGATAGAGAATAAATAAATAAATAAACAACCAGAACTCTTCAGCACCTTCCAACACATACTGCCTACAAAGCACTTGTATGAAGCGCACGAAAACTCAAATCTAATTGGTGCCCGGATGTTGTCTCCAAGAACACCGATTCACCCACCCAATAAGGTTACAGATGAAGGGCGAGGTAGTAATGCTGCTGCGCGGAGCTGTTCTAGAATTCCATCTTTTCAAGATGACAGCAGTCATACAACACTTACATGCATCCAATAAATCACAATCACCTTGTTCCTCACTGTACTAGCTGCAATCACAATAACCCCGGCTTACATTTACCTAAATATCCGATCGTACAACCCATCGCAACATACCACCACCACCACCAACCACCACCTTGTCAGATCATACGATCCCGTTACTACTACTATAACCCCTCACCACCCCCAACCAAACCATCACAACTAACTTACAACTATAATTATTATTACAACCCACTACCATACCATCCCATATCATCATCACCACCCATCAAGAAACAAAGGAACCAAATGACCCCCCAAACCATAGTAATCGGCACCGGCCTCGCCGGCCTAACCACCACCAGCACCCTCCTAACGCACCACATCCCCGTGCTCCTGCTCGACCGCGCCTCCAAACCCGGCGGCAATAGCATCAAAGCCTCCTCGGGTATAAATGCCGCTCCGACGCGATATCAACTCGAACCGGATACCATCTCTGCATTTCAACACGACACTATCCTCTCCGCAGGAGTGCCGTATACCTCCGCCAGCGGGGTAGAGCGCACCCGCCGTGAGAAACTCATCGACACGCTCACAACCAAGTCCGCGGACGCGCTATACTGGCTTACGGATGACATCGGGGTCGACTTGAGTCGTGTCGCTCGACTCGGAGGACATAGTGTATCCCGGACGCATCGGGGCGCGGGGAAGGGAACACCAGGGTATGAGATAATCAGGGGGTTGTTGGGTCGGGTATCAGAGGACAAGAGTTGTCGGATGGAGGTTGGGAGACGGGTTACGAGGATATTACGGGAGGGAGGGGAAGGACGGGTAGTTGGGGTTGAGTATACGGTTACGGATGGAGAAGAAGGGGGCAATCAAACAAAGACAGAGACAGCGTACGGACCTGTCGTCGTTGCGAGTGGAGGGTTTGCAGGCGATGCGAGAGGGCTGTTAGCGCAGTATCGGCCCGATCTGGAGGGGATACCATCGACGAATGAGCAGCGCGAAGGGACGCAGCCTTTGCTGCAGGAGGTTGGGGCAGCGGTGGTGGATATGGAACAGGTGCAGGTGCATCCGACGGGGTTTGTGGGGGGGAAGGAAGAAGAAGCGGAGGCGATGGTGAAGATATTGGCGGCGGAGGCGTTGAGAGGGGAAGGGGGTATACTTGTGCTTGGGGACGGGAGGAGGTTTGTGAATGAATTGGAGACGAGAGAGAAGGTGACGGGGGAGGTTATGGCACAGGCGAAGAAGTTGCCGACCAAGGCGAGGCAGTGGGATGTGAAGCTGGTGCTGGATGAGGGAGCAGCAGCGGCGTTACAGTCGCATTTGGAGTTTTATATGTGGAAGGGGTTGATTAAGAAGACGACGGTTGGGAAGATGGAGGAAATGTCGGCGCTGAAGGGGACGCTGAGGGAATATGCGGATGTAGTCGCTGGGAAGAAGCAGGATGAGTTTGGACGGCAGTCGTTCGGAAACTGGACGCTGAGGGAGGTCAAGCCAGAGTCGGTGGTGTATGTGGGAAAGGTTACGCCGGTTGTTCACTTTACCATGGGAGGCGTGGTGATCAACGAGCGCAGCCAGGTGTTGGACGGTCAGGGGCAGCCGATTCCCGGGCTCTATGCGGCCGGCGAGATTACCGGAGGCCTTCATGGCCAGAATCGGTTGGGGGGATCGTCGCTGTTGGAGTGCGCGGTCTTTGGCCGCATTGCCGGAGAGGAAGCGGCTGCTTATTATCAAGGATCGAAGGAGACGTGTTCCTGAAAGTCCTTGTATGGGAATTAGTGACTGGTGGTTGTTCCAAATTGCGACAGGCCGGATCGATTGTGATTAGTGTACTCGGTACTACTGTGTATTATGCACGCTACAGTGATCTATGTAATAAGCTACCATTGCAGTTGTCCGATCGAATTCGATTGTTTGTTTGGTCTCTGTATATAAAGTTCTGGGGAACTGCGCGGTTCATGCAACCAACTGCATCTCTTTACGATGACCTTGTTTCGGATCCAACGCCTTACCTGATGATGATGATGATAATCATCATCAAGCAGTGTGATGAATCAAGGCACAAGTCATGAGACATGCAATCGCACATTTGCCCAGTGCGCTCGGATAGAAATGATCGGTTTCATGAGTCGAACCACTGCACAATGCATGCAAACGCACTGTAATATCTTCGCAGTCAGCCATTTCGCACTGCGACCCCCATTCGAAGAAAATTCTGCCAAGATTCCATGAACCCTGTCTAGATGATCATGGTCGCCTTTAATTGCATCATGGGGCCGTTGCATAAAAACTGGGGATAATTAGATACCTGACATCAACGAGCAGATGAAAGAAAAGTGACGTTGGGGAAGACCAACGCAGCCCTTGCGAGGATGCACGATGATTGATGGACGGGGACAGGCCCTGAGCACAGGGACCCATGACGTAGGACGCCGAAGGGACGGGCTTCTCGGTCGAATTCCGGACAAAAAAAAACAAAACTAAAATCAAGAAAGAGAAGATGGGCTGTTGCACCGCCACAACTCAAACACTTACTCAGTCCGACTAGGGTCGTCGCCTCCACGGAGCGGAGTTAGTTAATCTGGTGGGCAGCCCTTCCCTTCTGCCTGGAGTGGAAGTGATGATACAACGCACACTTCATCCCACGCAAATGCACCGACAGGTCTCTGTCGACTCGATGTGCTCTTCTAGAACGCTGGGCATTTAATTAGAATGTGCAGACAGCGCTTCTCCTTACAGACAATGCACCCCGTGGTAATTAGGATGGCTGGGTAATCCAGCCTTCCTTTCGGCCGCGCCCTGGAACTGCTTTTCCGTCCTGGCTCTCGCCCACGGTTCCGAGGAAAATGGTAGCTCGCTCAATCAATAGATCGAAATTTAGCGGGTGGCGGAAAACTCAGCAGCTTCCCCACATCGGACCAGACTACCGTGTTGCTGTGGTACCACGAGCCAAGTTGCCGTGATACACAGAGCTCTGTACTCGGTCTGATTGACCATGGACGAATCAATCCTGGACTCTTCTCCAGCGTCAACGCTAGAGAGACGAGCAGGGTCGTGAGTGGCCCAGCCCTGTCGCGGAGGCATCCAAATGTGGCTCGAGAGGGCGAGGGTCAGCCACACCGGCGGTGGGCTGATTTTAGTGGCAGAGCAAAGCACAAATCACCGTCTGAGCCGGCGAAGATCGGCCCCATCGCGTCGATCCCCTGCATCCTGTCGGTCAAGGGCCCTATGCCAGTCTCTGCCCACTTCCTGGTCTTGCTTGGCCTGCCGGTATTCACATCTTGGGCATCCAGCATTCCCCTCCTCACTGACGTAGGTGGTGCGACCAAACTTGGCCTTAGCATCTTTCTGTCGTCAGATCTAGACTTTCCTAGTGTCAGTCGGCAGCTCTGTCCAAATATGGGCGGGATACGAGTAAACTAGATACACTAACCAACCGACAAAAGGCACCTTCTCCCTAGTTCGGTTAGCAAAAGAAAAAAACTTAATCGACTGGAGCTTGGGATTGTTGAGTAAAAGTGGGATCAACAATCGGGGATATCTCCAAATCCCTAGATCCTCAGCCACTCGGCGCAAGCGAGGGTTTTCCCTTCAGCCTATGAGAGTCACGCAGGGGATACAGTGGATTCAAGTTGAGCCACGATGTCTGGGTCTGATCATGATAGACGATGCCCCTTCCCTTTAGTCCAAGATTAAGGCCAGGGTGGAGCAGCCATGACTGCATGGACTGGCCCGTGACGGTGTCCTGAGCCACGTTGGCGCGCTGGTAGCCTGGTGGATGGGGTTCTGATGCCTTTGCTGATCGACTCCAGAAGCAACCAGAGACAAGCAGAAAAAATGAAATGAAAATTGTGAAAAGCAAAAAAAGCAGAAAAGTAAAAACAAGCAACGCAACTACTCCGGACTAGTCGATTGACGGCAAACGCCGAAGTGAACGAATCGAGTTGTCGGTGCGGCAAACAAGGGAAGCTGCGGGCCCTGAATTTGGATTTGCACTTGTTGACTCTTTCCTGCCTCCGTATTAAATCGGCTCTTCTCCCTCTCCCTCCATCTCTTTCTTCCTTTTCTATCTCTCCAAACAAGCCAGTCCCATCATCTGTCTTTCGCGTTCATCTTCTTCGGTTGATACCCCATTCTTCGCGTCGTCGCTCTTCCATTTCTGCTCTTGCACGTTTCTATCTTATCACAATGAAGACCTTCTCGCTCTCCCTCGCTCTTCTGGCCGCTGCCAGCATGGTCAGCGCTGATGTTTCCGTCAGCGACTGCGCTGTATGTTTACTCTGACGTTATTGTTGTTGACGCGCCTTACTGACCAGAGCGCGTCTTTAGCAAATGTGTCTCAGCAACATGAGCGGAAAGGCTTCTGAGCTTGGCTGCTCCAGCGGCGACCTGTCCTGCCTGTGCAGCAAGCCCGACTACAGCTACGGTATTCGCGACTGCACCGCTCAGGCCTGCCCCAATGATGACGCCAACGCCGTTGTCTCGTCGGCTCTTGCTTCTTGCCCCACCTCCTCTGGTACGTCGCTTACTCCAACGCAGTTTGATTCCCATTGGTAACAATTACTAACCTAATATACAGGCAGCTCCGACTCTGCCTCTGCTACTGGTGCTTCTAGCACTGGCTCCGGCGCTAGCGGTGCTGGATCTACCACCTCTGCCTCCTCGGCTAGCGGCAGTGGTGCCTCGTCTGCCTCTGGAACCAACAGTGGTAACACCAGCGGTGCCACGACTGGCGCTACCACCAGTGGAGCGGTAAGCTTAATATGCTCGTGATACCAACGTCTTGAAGCTAATTCTTTGCAGACTTCTGGTGCGACCACCCTGAGCACTATCACCAGCACGAGCACTAGCACCGGCACTGTCTCTGGTCAGACCACTCTGAGCACTATCACTGGAACCAGCACTAGCACCGGTACTGTCTCTGGTGCCACTTCGGGCTCTTCTGGCAGCTCTACCTCTGGCTCTGGCTCTGGTTCTGGATCTGGCTCTTCCGGCTCTGGCGGCTCTTCCTCTGCGACCGGAACTGCTCCCTCTTCCTCCGAGACTACTGGTGCTGCCCCCAAGCTTAACGTTGCCAGCAGTGGAATTGCCGGTGCCCTTGGTCTCGCTGCTATGTTCCTTCTCTAAGTGGCTGGCGAATGACTTGATGGCTTGGATATTCCAGGCGCCAAGACGGGACTGAAATCCTGACTTGGATTGTTTTACTATCATGGTTTACGACTTCTACGTTTTCTTTGCGGCTTGTATATGTTAATAGGATGGGTCATAGCTTAATGACTAGTAGATAATGTGCCGACTGCCCAGGATCATGGTCGTGGATATGCAGCAGCATGGATGGGTTTATGGATGGTTTAATGGATAACCAGGTTGAATTACACTCTTTCTCGGTCGGTTAATCAGTCAATAAACTTTTAGCATCATCAACGAAGCCGCGTAATAGATCTTGAGTAATTCCAACATGGCGACGATGCTTGTAGACTGGAATAAGGAGGGGTATTCATGTTGTGGTGACGTAGACTATGCAGAACGGCGTCAGAATGTGATGTGTAACAACCAATCTGCCGCAATGGGCCTCGGAAGGTAAACATCCACGCAAAGGATGCGCGATAAGCTCAATACTACTGCATTTCGATGAGATTGTGACTTAAGCTGATTATGGCTTTGTAGGAAATGCTAAGTTTCGAAAGTTCATCGCCATCCTTTTTATTTATAGCTCAGTACATCTCAACAACAAGTCACTGTATGATCCGACCATGAAGGATCTTCTAGTATTACTATATTTATCTTCTACTGTCAACGGCAGTGCATGACCTGGTGGCCAACTAAGGCGCTGCACGGCGCATGAATCCCATTCATTGTTCTTGTCGGTCGTTGCAACAAGGTTATCGTCAATCAATTTAATTCATTTCGTAGTGATTAAGATAACTTCATAGTACTAATAGTGGGCTTGGCAGTGTGGATATATATCTGTGCATCACACTAGTAGTAATAGTAACATGCTATTTCAAAGTCAAGCAAGACTCCCAATACAAATCCTTACACCGCTATATAGATTCTTCTTTGTGAATTCATACCACAATCCTAATTCTGAGAGGTTAGTAGACTATTGTTCTTATCTCATCCTTCGATCTATAGTATTCCGGCGATAGGACTTGAACGCGGCAAGTGGCATGCGCTACCGCATATTAAAGTACCCTGGTATTCGGGAGGCTGGAGAAGAACTCGAATAGACTTGATGGGAATCACTACTAAGGATCAGCTTCTTCGCTACTTTGACATAGATCGAAGTACTAAATCTACTGGCTATAGAGGAGTCGATGCAATACTGGTGCTCCAATAGATAATTGTTTTTCGTAAGTACCAGTCTGCTACAGATCAGACAGGCGTATCCTCTGTGTTTGTCATATACGAAATTTACTACAGGCCCCTTATATTCCAATGTTAGAGTGGTAGGTAATGTTCGAAAGGGGAAAGTGATCTGGTCAGGTGACCGGACCACTCACAGGCACAAAGGCACCGAGGCAGCAAGGCAGCAGTCGTATCTATATCTCAAGTGAGTAAACGATACGAGAGATGACCAACCACTCAACCCTCCACTGCGCACCATGGCATGCAAAGCACTGTTCAATGTGGATAGCTATTTTTGTTCTTATCTGAATGCCTAATTCGTTCCGTTGTTTTAGTTAAGTCTAGATTGAATGGCAAATCCATGTAAGCAGGTAGTTTATAAAGTCCAATGGTCTGGCTGGTGATTGATTCCCATCCCTACAATCTATTCAGTTCTACTATCCAGACATCTTATCCTCATATCACTGCGCAATCTTCACAGAAAGCAAGCAGTGACCCAAAATGATAAATCTCACCAGAATCACTGACATGACCGACCGCCCCCGCCTCAAACGTCGCCTCCACATCGTCATTGCATCTCTCATCGCCCTGACCTTCATCCTCATTATCGCCCGTCTAGCTACCCCCGGCACACCAGTGACTCGCACCAATATCTGGGGTATAGTAGTGGTACTGTCATTCCTCATACCAAATTCTCAAAGCTCCGCTCACTAGTAAAACTAACAACACAATCGATAAAACAGTGCCTCAAAGCCGCCCTCTTCCTCACCTACCAGGTCCTGACAACCTACAAAGACCGCTTCAAGCGATGGGCCAGCCTCAAGGCCAATATGATCTTGGATATCATCGACACGTTGTTTTGGTTCGCCTTGTTTATTATTAGTATCATAGGCGCGAGCGGGGGACATAGTGCTGCTAGTAAGACGTTGGGTGCTTTCGTGGCTATTCTCTCGTTGGTGTTGTGGTGAGTATTGTCATGTCTCTGACTATGTACCGTCTATATCTCATAGGAGTATGGTGGTGCTGACGGATGAATTGAACTGACTGGTTATAGTGGTGTTGTGGGGCTATTATCGTATCTTTGTATCTTGGATTATCGGTATTTCAAAGCTCATGGGACTGCAAATATTTATGCTCATGAGGAAGTGAAGGCGGAGGTTGTGTGATAGGGGATCATATTTCGGGGGCATTGAGCAATGTTGTTATGGTGTTTATGAAAGCTATGAATGTATGGAGGAAGAGGAGGGAGATAGCGGGAGTTCAGAAATGTATTTCATTGCCCGGTAAGCCTGTCCACTGCGACTCTTCAGCATATAGGTAGTATGCCATGCATTCGATTACATGACACGAGCGGGGGTAAAGATTAACTTTCTTCGAAAACTTTCTCCAGGGTAATGGAATCAACAAGAAGGTGGATAAACTCCCCACAGACGTATTGGAAATTCCTTCTAAGCAATTAAAGGGGGTTTCTTACCTGAGTCCTAGCCATCTGTTGATGACATCTCACTTGGTGCTATCCATTGCATTGATGGGTGTGACTGGCGCAAATCGCGAGAAAGAATGACTGAAGCCAGATGAAGCAAGCTTTTGGGAATGTTAATGGATCGACGGGAGGAGCGATCAGTTCTACTAGGTGACAGGAGGTGTCACGGTCATGTAGGAAGCAAGAAATCGGTGAATGAACGAAAATATGGTAATTTGAAGACAACTGGTCAGCCAGTTGTGACACTAATTCATATGTTCACTTTGCTTTTGTTGTCTTCAATTGTATTTAGCTGCAGCGACGACCTTCCATTATCGCAGCTTGCGTTGCTTCACGGGTGACTTGTGTTCATTGAGAGACCTAAGGAATTTGAAGGCGCCCATGGCAATATTTGCTTCAGACGATGAAGCGCTTGTATAGCTAGCATCTACATAGCGGGCTCAGCCAGGTATAAGGATACTACTTCTCTTTCCGTGGAGTAGAATAGCAATGTACACTGTAGAATGAAGCCCCACATCCTTTAACTGTAATTAAATAAGGCAGCCACGTTCCTTCTTCAGTGCCCTATTCAAATCCTAATCCCCATAAATTTGAATTTATTTATAAACAGTAAAGTATAGTAGACGTTGGAAATTAAGTCTCGATCACTTTGCTGGGCTCCACTTCCAAATACACTAACTATAAACGGTAGTGGGTACGACTACGACGAAGGGTCTTAAGGTAGATGCCGAGATCTGCCTTGGATAATATTGCCATCGATAGTTCGTACGTTATCCCCTTCCAGGGAAACAAGTGGAGCGAACCGGTGAAATACGAGAATTCGAGAATTCAGGTCCGAGCACTAAGCTTGAGAAAATAGGGATTATAGGGGGAGAAAGAATGGTACAGTATGCATAACAACCAAAGGTTGAAAATAAGATAATGGCACACAGGGAACGAAAGGAAGAAAGCAAGAAGAGAATCGTAATTCGATAAGCACAAATAAAGGCGAGAAAATTCTCAACGTCTTCGTCGCAGCATCTCCACCTGATCCTCCTCCACTTCCATCATCTTGTCGTAAGCCTCCGGACGAGCTGAGAGTATACGATTCGGGTGCATGACATTGAACAAAACACAACACGAAAACATTAACAGAGCATCAAAAATATAAAGGAACATCTCATTTTGTTTCAAACCTCCCTCCGAACCCTGCAGATACTCCAGCACACGATAGACGGACCGCACCATGATGAGAACACTAGCCGCATACAAGATGCGCATATAGGTGTGCCACTGTGTGATTATCACGGACACTTCAGTCGGCGAAGCAGCCATACGGCGATGAAAGACCACAGTGACAATGATGAAGAAGCCGAAAAAGACCAACTGAACGATAAGACCGACCACGATGATGTTATTGCCCAAGGAGACCTTGCTGGGGGTCTTCTCAGATGCCATTATGCCGCCGCCGCCACTTTGGATGAAGAATGAGAGCACATCGCCGGTTACGAATATCTTGGTCAGCCATGATGGCCGGATTAGCGAGTATGTGTGGCCGTCGAGGAGGCGGATGATTCGGCCCAGGATCATGTAGATGGAGGCGGAGAAGAGAGCCGGAGCTAGAAGAAGCAGCAGTTCTTGTCCGACGTAGGGCTTCACGGTCCAATCTGGGGTCTCTCTGGCGCTGAAGTAACGGGCGATGTATCCGAATGTTTCAACTGGAAGGAATTAAGGCATTAGCAAGGTGATGAATACTTGAGGGGATGAGGGAACACACAGAATCCACCAAGAACAAATGGTACAAAGCACCATGTCCGCCTGCGGATCATCTGGAAAAGATGCACCATGGAGGTTGCGGCGAACAGTCCGGCAGAGACAATAGCAGCGCCGACAGAGGGGTCATATTCATAGAGCTTGTAGTTACTCGACATGATTGAAGCTTCAGGCCTTGAGACGTCTGAGAAAGCAGAAGTTGGATTGCTTGGAAAGAGAACACTTGCAGGGCGGAGAGAAATAAATAGGCAAATAAACCAAGCACTACGCACTGGGCAGGTAGATCTCCACTGCGTAGTTTGCACGTTCTATGTCATGGAGCTATACGTTCTCCGCTCAGGGGTGTCCGTAAGAGATCCACAGGGCTTAGGTTCTAACGATTACCATTGTAAGCTCAATGCATGTTATGGAAGAGCCCTAGAGTGACCCTTCAAGACGGTGGGTAAACGGTAGTAGGTGACTGGCCTGTTGAAAAGAAGTCAAAGCTTCAAAGTGTATATCTCCCTTAATCGTCACAAAAGCAACTAGGACCGTACCGTTACCGTGATTCTTTTCTCTTGTAAATTTTATTTCATACTCAGATTGCAGCTCACCTGAATATAGTTAAATAACAACCAATCTCGACAGTATCACACTTGAATCCCACAGTGGTCTTCATATATACGATGCTACAATATTGTACCTCAATGTTGCAATCTCCTGCGTATAAGGGCCTTAAAGCCGTCCGTCTCAGGGCTACCAAGAGCACAGGCTACTGTATTTTCCAAGGTTGCCCAGCCACTAGTAAAGACGGCACAGTAGAAGCTCCCCACAGATGGTATACCACGTTGGTAAAAATATCATCCTAGCGGGGATATCTCGGTGAATAGTGTGGCCCTGAAGCTAGTCGAAGCGGCGAGTAGATAGTACTTGCTAGAAACGTAAGTTTATGGTGATCTATCCACCAGCTATGGAGATTGTAGTCCAATGGACACATGTATTCTCAAATTCTTTGTCCATAAGAGAAACCTCTCAAGCCATAAGAATAATTAACATTTAACTTCCGGGGTGTGCGTCGTTGTCCCGTCCTCCGTTCTCGTATTTTATACCCGATCGGTCGAGCACGAGTCCCATCGAACAACAACTTTAAATAGTCCAGCCAATTGTCGACTTTACAGAGGCAAGTGAAGTGAAACATTGACGGGCGATCTTTGGGGACTAACTCTATTCATAATTCCTTGTGGTGCAAATGTGTCTGTGCCTGAAACAACTATTACGAATAAATATGCTCATCCACACGGCCAAGCGGTGATCGACATGGGTTCAGTCTCCGCTGTCCATCAACTCCGGCGTACACCCCAGATAGTTAGTGCACTTGCCCAGAGGTATGTTCAAAATGGTCAACTTGTCAATCGTTGAGCTTGGAGCGAGAAAAATGCCTTTTAATTGTCACAAGTACACTTCGTGTACTTCTTTTTAGTATTTGAAGTTGGAAAGATCGGTCCTGTAGTATTCATTATCAAGCAGATCAGATACCTGGTCGGTTACACTCAAGGTAGACATGGGCCAGACTCAGTATACTCATTTCACATGATGCATCTATTAATTGCCCATCTGTCTAATGCCGAAACAGGGACGGATGGAATAGGGCTGAGTACCATGCTCATGTCTAGGCATAGGCTCCTGAACTGCTGCTTATATGGCAGCTTCGAATGTTACATAGTACATATAAGGGGCAAGATATATTTTGCTACCTCCCAGAGAGGCTCTATAGCAACAGTCCAACCATTAAAGTGGAGTAACCGGTGCGGACCCTGGGCGTATGCTTATCTTTATCAGCTCAACTTTCAGGCTAAGTTGAACACATGTGAAGCTTGGCGGTTATTAAGTAGCTACCAACTAACTCGGAATATAGCGGCGTAAATATGGCGAGACACGTAAGTTGAGAGTGCATGTGGGGTAATATCACGCGCCGTGTAGCTTGTACACTTTTTGTCGTCTGTTCTGGAGGTCGTTAAGGCTGATAGAAGGGACCAGAGCAGACCTGCTTGTCTGTACGAGTGCTTGGAATATGCATTTTGAAAAAAAATCTGTCTCTGATCCAAAGAGACTTGGCTCAATCGCTAGACCGATAGGCTAGTGCCCGTTCAGCGTCAGTATCGGTGCCGTCGCTTCGTCGGTTAGTATCCAGACTCTCCAATAATATTAAGCCCCTCTGGGGCATTAGCAACCCCCTTCTCTGATCAGGTGCATGTTAATAACTGTGAATCCGGGCCATGATCTGGTACGAGCGCCAGAACCTTCTAAGTTGATCAGTGCAAGCCAAGCCAGTATAAATAGTTGATTGAAACACTGTGGCTGAAACCTATATTGTTTTGATAGATTACAAGAAGGATATGCCGACTTGTGCACCTTATCCCGAACGCAATAATCTGAAGTGCCCCTTTTCTGCCAGGTTTTGCACGGGGGTCTTTCGTTACTGGTCCAGATAGACCACACTAACACCAGTTCGTGATAACGGCGAAGCCAGGGTCCAATGGACCGTACTTAGTAGAAGAAAAGAACTGCATTCGGATCGGGGAATGATAGCGTCCGGGCAAAGAAAGCCCCGACTTGGAGTAGCGCCAACAGTCAGCAGCCTTCTTATTGGCGGCGGGTGACGCGGGTCCCCACTTCAGCAGGCGTGATTACGAGCAGCCGCCCAGTTACTTTGTAGCTAGTCCCAAAATAGCCCTGTTACTGCCTGCAATTGCTCGTTGCCGCCTGATCCTGGAGGGCGAGCCTTCTCCCATTTATTCCTCTGCTTCCTCGTCATCCTCGCTGCTTTATTCCCATCCGACTGGCCGTTCTTCAGTATCGCATCCATCAAATCCATCGGCCCTTTTCGACTGTCATATCTTCTCCCTTGATTTCAGCACAACCATGACCATCTCTTCCCTCGTCCGTCGAGGTGTGGAGGCCGCCTTGGAGCAGCCTACCCCGAACCAACCCACCATCCATTTCGCAGGATGGCTGTCGGCTCTGTTCGTCTTCACGGTCCTGGCCTTTATCGCTATCGGGTTCTCGGTAAGCTGCATGCCGCTTATGAGCTGATTATCGACGGACACTGACGCGTAGTCTCAGGTGGAGTACACTTATGGAATGCTAGTCCCGACCCTCGCCGCCATCGAGGATTCCAACCCCGATGTCTATGTCCGAATTGATGGCAACCTTGACGCCAACAAGCCTGTTGATGCGAACGAGCCCGATGCCGAGCCTGTGATCGAAGCTCCCCCTCCGATGCCCATAACCAGCAAACTACGCACCACGATTCAGCACCTCCGTGCCCGTGCCGGTTTCCTCTCCCGCTTCCGTGGCTTGAGCATGCTCGTCACTTATGGTATCGCACAAGGACTGGTCTTCTCGATCATGCCATTTTCTTTCAACGCATTTTTCTCTCAGTTCATTGTTGGCATGATCTCCAGCGTCGCATTGGCCAACCTGCAGCTGGCGTGGGTCCACATTGTCATTTCCGAGCCTTCCCCCAAACGTTTCTACCAGCGGATCCCCGGTTTTGATGCCTGGAAGAAGATCGCTCCTGTTGTTGCTTTCGAACACGCCGTTACCAATGCTGCATACTACATTCCCTTGGTCCTGATCAGCGCTTGCAACGGCTTCAAGAACATTGAGAACCCGTCCGGTGGTGACTCCCCAGCCAAAACTCTCGCAGGCGCTGCTACGCTCGTCTCCCTGCCTGCTCTTCTCTCTTTCGTGGTGTCTATCCCTGCCCGGGCTATCTTCATCCGCGTGGCTGCGTCTATGCTTCCTGAGGAGGATGAGTCCATTGTGCCTTTCGATCGTTCCTTCGGGGGCAAGGTCTCCCCCGCCATTGTCGGGGGCAGCGGCAAGCTGAGCATCATGGATGCTTGGAAGACCTTCGACCGGCCCGCTTTGCTTCGCTTCGTCAAGGCCATCGGCAAAGGATTCGCTATTGAGGTTGCCGTGGCCGTGTTCTTCACCACTCTGCTGATTGTACAGGTTTGGGCTGGAGCGGTGACCTATGGCTTCGTTGGGAACAACGCTTAGCTATAGCCCGAATGCCTTGATATGTGTACAGATCCAAAATCAACCAGCTACGACTCTGCTCTTTCGCATGAATCTATACATATGCCCTAGCGTTAAATATAGCGCGTACATGATACTCCATATTCCATATATGACGTAGTTTGATCCTGTGTACTATCTCCTAGACTTCTTTGTTCGCCCTTCCGGTTACCTCGGGCAGGGATAAGCATGGCGTGTGACGCATGAGGGGGGGCTTATGAGATTCGGGGTTGTCCTGCAGAGGTCCGAATGAGTAAGCGTTATCCCCTCACCTGGCCAGGACTGGATTACATACAGGACAGGGAGAGTTCCCAATAGGGTAGGCTACCATCTTCACCGGTCTACTGCAGCATCCTCGACTTGCCTTTGACCAGTCACATATCATGGGCTGGACTGGACTGGACTAGCCATACCCGCCAGGTACTCACAGCTACTAGTAGTAGCAGTACAACGCCACCGAGGCGCACCATTTGCGTTGTTATCGCAGCCCGCCCCGCCCGCCACTCACCGCCCGGCAGCGATTCTTTCCCATCATCAACTGCCAGTCTCTTCGTGACCCTCGGTCTACTTACCTTACCTCCTGGTCAGTTGTTCCCTGTGTTAGATCACCCTCAGGGTAATAGTCCCTCCTATTCACCTTTTTCTCTTCTACTACTCTTCTCCCCTTTGGCCACCTCCCTACTATATCGAGGGTCACCTCTCTCCTCACCATCCAACCCGCTTTGCGTCCCCTCATCGTAGCATCGGCTCAACGCCCCTCTTCCCCTCCTTACCCCTCTCCGGTATACACTATCCACCATGGCCACAACAGCAGCAGGCCGCATGCTCTCCCGCCAACTGCAGCAAATGCAGTCGGACAAGGACATTCCCGGGATTAGCTGCGGATTGGTCGATAACAATGTCTTTGAATGGGAGGTCATGCTTATGATCTCCGATGATGTCAAGTTGTACGGCGGTGAGTAAAGTTTGGGTGGGAGAAAGCCTGAATGAGCATCTTCACGTCTTCCTCAAGAGCCCTTTTACTGACTAAAGGCGAATAATAGGTGGTTTCTTCCGCGCTCGTCTCTCGTTTCCTCCTGACTACCCTCACATGCCGCCGAAAATGAAGTTCGAGACGCCTCTGTACCATCCTAACAGTACGTCTCACTCTTCTTTCCCCTCCCTTGAACTTCCTCTTCCACCAAGGCACAAGACAATCACAGAATACTGATTTTCTTCATTACAATCATATAGTCTACCCCAACGGCGACGTCTGCATCTCCATCCTCCATCCCCCGGAGGAAGACAAGTACGGATACGAATCCGCCGCCGAGCGCTGGTCCCCCGTGCAAACGCCCGAGACGATCCTCCTCTCCGTTATCTCCATGCTCTCCAGCCCCAATGATGAAAGTCCCGCCAATGTCGAGGCCGCGCGGTTATGGCGGGAAGACCCGAAAGAGTTCAAGAAGAAGGTGCGCAAGTGCGTACGGGATAGTTTGGGAGAGGAGTAAATGAGTTCCTCCTTCCCTTATCTACTTTTTTCATACCGTGAGTTCAGTTACTCAGTGGTGGTATGATATGATTTACATGGAACGGAGACGGAAATGGGTCACTATGGTTTCTTTTTCTTTGTGTTGTTGGTTGCATGATAGAAGGACTGCTTGGTGCGGTTGATTCGGCTGATGGTCTATCTATTTACTTACCGGATGATATGCATTTTTCAACTGACATTTGTTGCTGTTGATACGGGGAGTTTGCTTCTTTTCGAGCTGTTGATTGGTCTAAGACGGAGTTTAGTTCAATTGCTTACTTGACTTTCCTTGGCTTCCTTTCTTTCTATTTCAACCTATCATTGCACTCGTTTGATCGTTGTCATGCGCTGTTCAGCTTTGATTGTATATCCTTTTGGGTGTAGGCAGGTTTCCTTTCCCAGTGAATATACTTGTGGTATAGGAATATATACACGACAAACACTGATTGTTGGTTGCTCAAGTATTACTGTGTCATATCAGACTATAGTCGTATAACCATACTGAGGATACCGCAGTAGTAACATATTGTCATAACTCCAGCGATAGTAAAACGGGTATCTATTGAATGTGCTATGCATATATAAATATACAATAGAATATGAAATATTGTCTATAACCTAGGCCTTCGGAGTCTTCTTCATACCCTTCCGGATAGATTGCAGGAAGAATCCAGGGTAAAGGTAGGTAAGGCAGCTCACGGCGATGGCCATCATCCTAAAACTCTAATCAGTACGTCTGGATTCATGACATAGAAGGGAAAACATAAACAAAAGGAATACTCACATTCCATCCAAAACCAAGAATTCATTCTCCTTCTGCATGAGCGGGTTACCCCATCCACCGGCCATTTCGGGAATACTACCCACGGCAAACTATGTTAGTACATTGTATCGTCCGTAGCTTGAGAGCGCTGAAGTAGAGAGGGAACTTACCGATAAATACACCGAATCAAAGTAGCAAAGTAAGCCACGATGCCCGCCCAAACAACAACCCTGAGGTGCTTCGGCCCAGTGAGATTCCCATTCTCATCAATATACTTCTCGCCGCCCAAACCGGGTCCCTTTCTCACAACGCGGATAAAGAAATCCAGCGCCAACAGACCACAAACCGACATCGTGCCCACCTGGAAGGCGATACCCGCCACCATGATATCATCGCCCACCTTCAGCATATTCTGATTCTCGCTGCCCGCTGCAGCGGCAACACCACCACCTGCGGCCTGGAGAATGAGCGATCCGACATCACAGCTGATAAAGATCCAGGTAAAGAGCCGGGGCTTGAGACGCGAGTGTTCTGGGCCCAAGGAGAGGATGACGTGCTTCAGGGTGAGATAGATACCGGCGGCGATGAAGGTCGGGGCGAGCACGAGACAGACAATTTGCAGTTTGAAGCCGCCTTGGTCCCAGGGATTATGGTTCATTAAGATTCGGCCGATGTATCCTGCTAGTTCCATGTATCCGCCGATTACCATCGCTATCAACATGGTCCAGGAGCGGTAGTAGACGCCGAGACCAAGTTGGAGGGTGCCGAGTAGGCCAAAGTAGACGGCGAAAAAGATATTACCGCCTAGGTTGGGATAGTAGCCATATGTTGTCGCCGTGACGGGACATTCTGGTGTGACGTGCGTGCAAGTGAGGCTCATGGTGATGGTTTTCCTCTGGTTTTGGTGGTCGTAGTAGTGTTCGTGTATTGGTGTGGGTGTCGAAGAGATATTCGATATAGGTGGGAGAAACGAAAGGAAAGCAACAAGCCGCTATGAATAGGTCTATATGCAATATACTATGCAATATATGCAAGCAAAGTAGGAAACGAGGGAAAGAAAGAAACAGATATGTAAGATGAAGCCAGCTCCGACCCTGACAGATGCGCGCACATATTGTATGTCAGCCTGATGGGGATCAGACCTATTAATATAAGACAGTCGAATAAAATTTATAGTCGACCCGTTCTTTATCCCGATTTGCCGGGTCCTGGAGACGGTCCTCTTCCTGGTGGATCGGTCGTGTATAAAAAAAATCCAAGTCATGGCAACGCCGATTGGTTCGCTTTCGTTCTCGTTCTCGTTTTCGTTCTCGCACTACTCCACCGGCCATATCCGTTGGTTCGACCGTTATCGCCGACAAGGGCATTTCTCCGGCCATGCGATTTGTTCATCGCAGAAGGGTTCATGTTAAGCTCGTGTCCCCTGGATCTGTTCAAGGTACTCATCCGTTTCTCATCATCAATGAGCCGATTGATTTTTTTTCCGCGCTCATTCGACCCCAGGTCGTCGACATAGATAAACCGTGCCTGGAGATGATGATGATTCAGTAAGCATTCATTTAACCGACTTGATAGCGGCCGTTGTGGGGACTCACGACTCCACCTGTATCATTGCGCCCCTTTTGCTGCTGGTTGGAGAGACAAAACAGCCAAAGATGAAACAACTCTTCTCTGTAGATAGTTGCAGCAGCTCTCGGGATGCCGGTCCCCAGCTTGCATTAACCCCAGTAAATCTCATAGCTTAATGGAACATCGGTGCTTGTGGATGGTTTCGATGTTCCTCTATCACGTGACACGGAGAAATAGTCACCCCGCGGCGGCACGTGGAGCCGCTTAGTAGTTCTCATCCATCCACAGGAATTATTCTATCGTTGAGCAGATGACGATATCCGCCGGCAAATAAGCGTCCGATATGCTCCATATCAGAAACACGGCTGAACTCGCAAGATATGAGAATAGTGGGTACAAGTTGAGGGGAAATGCCGCCCAGAAGGACCCATACCAAGTCGCGCAATGGCTGTGACCAGTGTAAGAAGAGACGCGTCAAGGTAAGCACCGTCCAGTTTCATACATTATCATATCCCGTATCTCCTGGATTACGCCTGTGTTGATTAGCCGAAAACTGTCCAGTTCTGGAACTATTCAATACCCGTCTAATTCACTGTCATCCTTGCAGCACTCTTCTAACGGCTATAGTGCGATGAACGAGGCCCACCATGCTCCAATTGCATTAGCCGGGAGCTGGCATGTACTTATTATAAGACCCCCGCGGCACGCAAGGAGACTACACTATCGACAAGTCCTGCTCCTTTGCAGTCCGCCAGATTAGTAGCACCCTCTGATGCAACACTTCATGCCAACCAGCCCTTCTCCCGCCATGGATCTTCACCTCCAAACCTTGCTTGCCTGCGGGAGCTTGAGCTAATGCACAAGTTTTCCACGGAGACCTATCAAAGCCTTTGCAATGAACCAACAGACCACCACGAATGGCAGTATGTTATCCCTCGCAAAGCTTTGCAGCACGACTTCCTCATGAGCGGGATACTAGCGGTTGCATCGCTCCATATCGCGTCGACACTTGATCCACCAGAAGCACTCTCCTATATTGACACAGCTCTGGAGTACCACAATCTTGCATTTGCACCTTTTCGCCATGCAATTGATAATATTAATCCAGCCAATTGTGACGCAGTCCTAACTCACTCGGTCATTATAACTGTTATTGGCATAACATTACCACAATCGGCTGTTGCACGAGAAGAGAGTCAAAGCATGACCGAAAATATTATTGTCGTTTTCGAGTTGCTGCACGGTGTCAGTAAGATCTTTACCATCAGTCGTCCTTGGCTTCAAGGAAAGGTGTTCACTTCCCGGAGAGGCTTCTGGGAAAATCAGCTTTCCATACTAGACAGTGAAATCGAGGCTGCACTGGATCGATTAACAGCCTTGAACAATGACATGCTTGCTACCGACAATGCTGAGCAGCATCACATTATCAAAGATGCAATAGCCCTTCTACGCCGTTGTTTCTGCAGATACAACCATGCCCGAGACGCGGCTTCCATCCTCGCATGGGTTGCAACAGTTGATAAAAAGTTCGTCCATGCTCTGAGATGCCGTCAAACTCTCGCACTGCTAGTTCTCATGCACTGGGGTGCTCTCCTCCATGAGCTTGATGGGAAAGTATGGTGGGCAAAGAATTCTGGAAAAGCTCTGGTTTCGGAGCTGCTGAATGCGCTTCGTCCCTGCGACGTGCGGTGGGAAGGGGCATTGCAGTGGCCACAACGTAAAATAGGACTTTGAGGTACATACATTGGATCTGTTGGTGCATTATTGCCCCAGTTTTCACCGGATTAACGTGTTCTGCACGAGCTCCGAACCGACAAGGTTTGCAAGAGCTTCCCATGATATGCGCGCTGGTCAGCGTATGGATGAACACGGGTCTATCAGCACAGACTAAAACACAACAAGGACATCGCGTATAAATAACAGGTAATGCAAATGACTATCTCAAAATAATGCACAGGCGCCTCTTCAAAGCTTTCCCATCCTCCTCAGCACCTTTTCATAAGCTTCCTTCGTCCGTGCTGAGGCAAGCCGTTCAGAATCAAGTTGACAGATCGCTAAGCTCAGGGGACCTCCGAGTTGCTTCAGCCAGTATGATCGCCCGCAATCAAAGACCCAGTTGCGTGTGCCCACCTTGACAAGCTCTGCCAAGATATGCTGTGGGATACTTCGGTCTTGCACGAATATTATTTTTGGTAGCTCATGCCGAATCTCCTCCGGGGCATTCTCCCTGCATATAGCCAGGATCTCGTCGAACGTATGGCTCACATATAATTGAGATCCAATATGAACGATCCCCTGCGTCCCCGCCGCTGCATGCAGAAGGCACGCATTGGCGACAAAATCAACTGGGATCTCATCCAAGATATTTCGACCACTTGTATACCCTTCTGCGGCGTGCCATATCTGGGTACCTCCCTGGTCCGAAAAGTATAGTGTAGAGAACTTCGTCAGGGGCGTCGAATCTTCGGGTCCGTACAGCGGATATGGGTGTCTGACGGCCGGTCCAAAGATGGTCGGACGGACAAACAACACCGGGAGCATCGGGTACCGCTTGAACGTCAAGCGCTCCATTAGATGCTTTGCATGGGTATAAGATGACGAGAAGCGATCCGTATAGGGAGAATGACCAGTTGCTTGTATGGTTGCCAATTCGTCCTCTGGGTCGTCATCTGAAATGGGATACAGTCGCTCACCCACATAACCGTCTGGCAAAAAGCTGTTCACATATGCAGTGGAGATCTGGATGAACAGCCTCAGTCGACGAAACCGCGAAACCATCGCAGCCAATTCTAAGGCGGGCAGACAGTTGTTCTCTAATGCTTCGGAGATGCTCGCATCCAGCTTGATTCTCGCAGCTGCATGTATAACCAGCGTGACCTCTTCACGTAATCGGTTCAGCATCACGTCCTCAATCCCAAAGTTCGACTTCCTAATATCCCCGACTATGTAATGAATCCTGTTCGAGTTCAGAATCGCCTGAGTATGATCCGGCATGGTTTTCTTCCATTTCTTCACAGCCAACTCCGACGACCCACGGATCAAAACAAATATCTTCCGCGTCGGAAGCTGCACTGCCAGCTTATACAGAATACATCCTCCCAGTGAGCCCGTGCTGCCCGTCAGGAGGACGGTCTGTCTCTCGTAAGATGTTGCATAACCGATCCTCTTAACCTCATCCTGATACGGCGCGAGGTCCGGACCTGGCATAGAGAAGGGCTGTACAAGTATATTTCAGAGATAAAGAGAAGGGGTGGGGTGCTACCAGGTAGTCGCCTCGTCATGGGAAACCTGTACAAAACCACCCGAAGGGTTACTATATACACCCCATCATCGTCACATGTTACACTCCACCGCAACCAACACCAGCGATCACGCACTACCACACCGGAGCGAGAGTGCAACGCAGTGCTACCGGCCAAAGCAAGAATCCTCGGCTGATTATAAGGCCGTAGAGGCTCCCCATACCTTCTATTATCTCGCTAGTCAACGGTCTCTGACCTGATCCTAGATTCAAACAGAAAACTACAACTTGAATCCTCGAGGCTTCTCACCAGAAATATAATAATCGATTACATAACTTCAGTTCAGTCCAGAACAAATGTTGCCTTAAGTTCCCAGCAATCATGTCTAATATTTACTCGTATGAAGTGCGAGTCCTATAATCCGTGGTACTAGATCCTTGTGATGAGACACAGGTGTAACATAAATCCCTGTAGTTGTTGGGTCCAGTAGTAGAAATCACCGGTGTTCAATGTAAGCTACGGCACGCAGAGTGAGTCCATTACCAAGCCCTGAGGATACTACTGAGAATGTCCGTGACTTTCTATTGGAAACATTTTCTCCATTAGTCATGATGATTTGGTAGATGGATGATCAGACCACTTTCCTCCTCTGAAGTTTAGTCTCATTGAGCATAGTTTGGTGGTACCAACATCCCTTCAAGTGCACAGATATACACGGGTAATATTACCATTATCTACTATTATTACACTGATCAGGAAAAGGAACTATAACTAATCTACATTACTTCAGTTGATTATTTATTTACTTAGACAAGCTATACATATATTATCAGCCGGAGGAAAGGAGAAGAATGGAGAATGAAATGAGAGAAAGAAAAGACTCCATTCAGGCCGTCAAATCTATCTACCTAGCTTAGCCAAGAGGTCAATAGTATGTATTAGAAAAGGATAGAAAAAAGGGAAGCAACGCAATCAAGAATGCTTATTCCCGCCGCCACCGCACCAACAACGGCCGTCTCCTTCGCGTTCGACCTGAACGAGAATGTCCATGCCCTTCTCGCGGAGGTAGTCCACGGTGCGTTGGCGGACATCTTCGAGGTCGGAGCTGCGAGAGGCGATGACGTGGATTACGCCGAGGACGTTGGGGGTATGCGTGTCATGGTGATCGTGATCGTGATCGTGATCATCGTGGCTGTGGGAATTGTGGTCATGACTGTGAGTATGGCCGTGGTCGTGAGCATGATCGTGATCGTGATCGTGGCTATGGCTATGACTGTGGTTGCATCCATGATCATGAGCATGGGCATGAGCATGAGCATGAGCATGGTCGTCGTGATGATGATGGTGGTGGTGGCCGGATTCCTTCCCCGTATCGTCCAGCCAGAACTTTGGGACGGTGTACCCGACAACGCCCCGTAAAGTACTAACGCCAGCAAGGGTTTCGCGGACATTGTATTCAATGTCAGCTGGCAGGGTGAGCAGCAGGGTCTTCGCAGTGCTGCTGACAAGCGGGATTGCCGAGGCAAAAATCAAGATTGCAATGAGACAAGAGGCGATTGGATCGAACCCTGGCCAGCCAGAGTAGTGCACGAGGATGGTCGAGATCACAACGGCCACGGAGCCAAGAGTGTCGGCGAGAATGTGTAGGAAAATGCCGTGCATGTTCTCGTTTCCGTGCGAGTGCCCGTGACTGTGATCGTGGCCGTGCGCGTGTCCATGATCGAATGCCATGATTCCGACAAGGTTGACTAGAAGACCCGCAACACTTACCGCCAGTAGTTCGCCGAGACGATGCATCTGACTGCCGGATGAAAGTCGCTCGACAGCTTCATAGATGATTTCAATGCTGATGATCCTATGTACTGTTAGCATGGTCATCCAAAGTGCTTACTAGCAGCACTTACATAAGGAAGATGCCGTTGGCAAACCCAGAAAGCGTGTCGACTTTGCCATATCCGTAGGGGAACCTAGAGCTCGGGGGCCATTTACTCATGACAGCAGCACAAAGACCAACCACGAGCGCTAAGCAGTCGAAGAACATATGAATACTGTCACTAAGAAGACCCAGGGATCCAGTCATAAATCCATAGGACAGCTGAACAAGCATAAAGGCAAAATTAAGACTAGTTAAGTTAGTGTCATGCTACCTCAAATACAAGGCGACGAATGAAATACCTCATGAAGTAGAAGATACGTCGTGAATCGCTTTCCTTGAGAATACTGTACAAAAGGGGATAAGGCTCGCTGTACTGGATGATGAGCCTCGTTATCTTCGTAGCATCAGCTCCAGAGTGAGCATGATGATGGTGATTATGGGTATGAGAGTGTTGCGAAAGGCGCAACTGTCTGTCATCGAATCTGGCAGCAAGGAACGAGGCGGCAGTTGCAATGGCGCGAGGTACATAAGCTAGGTGGACTTTTTCTTGCAGCGGCGGCGAGCTTAAGAGCGCGGCAGCTCCGACACCGATCATAAGACCAATCTTTTGTGGTGAGCGTAGATGGGAAGGGGAAACGAATATGAGACTTATTGCAAGTGCTCCAGCAGCTGCGAGTTGGTACATCATGTTGGAAGCCTTTAGGGACACATTGCCAGAAACAACAACAGTAACAAGTGCCAGGATAATGCCTGAAAGGACAGCCAGGATTGAATCACTAGACGAAAGTTTGCCCGAGTCCTGCTTTGTAGATTGTTTCTGGGATACTGCGCCATTGGACGTCAAGTAATCAAGATCAGCAGAAACGGACGGAGTCCCAGAAAAGGGGAGCCGAAGAACGAAGACCGACGTGAGCAGAGAGACATAGCCCAGGTATGGGTGGGGGTCTCGCGTCGCATTCATACCCCAAAGGCTCAGAGCAATGATGGTGACGAGAAGCATGGCCGTTACTTTCTTTTGGCTGAGCCGGGACTGTGCACTGCTATGAAGGCCATAGCCTTGAACGACGGTCGGCAAACCTGACGCTACAGGAAGTAACAAGCCGCATGCGACAAGGAACCCTCCCACCTTCAATGTCGCATATATCGGCAATGCGACAGAAGACACCCGGAGCAAAGCAGCGCTTGCCGCACTGGAGCTCATTCGAGGCAGTGTAACCTCCGAGTCACTCCCTCCTCGTTGAATCGATCGAAATAATTGCCCACACCCATATACAATCATTGTGACGGCGGTCAGCATGGAGGTTTTGCTGGCAGCCTGCTCTAAGAGTTCGCTTCCTAAGCTAGATGCAGCGGTCTCATCGCTTGTCGAAAACGTCGTCTGCCAAAGCGCATGTTGTTGGTGGTACCAGGAAAGAATGATCCACGGCAGGGAGAGGAGTAGGCCAGAGAGGACTTCCTGACTGAGTAGAGTCAGGATCGGTTCCCAGTGAATAGGTCAAAGAACACTTACGTCGTGCTTGGTTGAGAGTCAATTGAAGAGCTAATCGATTGAGCTCCAATTAATCCCGTCACACTATCGCTCTTAGTG